TCTCGTGATCGAGACTGATCAAAGTTAACCATAGACAGTAAAAGAACGCGTCTGCTCTAGTGAGCTTGATCACGCTACGCTGCCGTTTGGACTTTGAACCGAGCGTATAAACACTCCGTGAGGCGCGCGCGGTTCAAATGAGTTTCGTTCCGCTTTTGGCGCATAAACATGATCTAACATTTATCGAACTCTTGATATCGTTTTATAGAGAAAACATTATATCGCGATAATGAATGAATGAGCATATCAATTTAAGACGTGGCTAAATGTAATTTATGACCTTGTATGGAAAAACCGGACGTTTTTATGACTTTTTATGGCCTAAAATTCTTATTATTAAATTTAAGACGTTTTATGACTTTTTATGACCCCGCGGAAACCCTGAATCCAGACGGTTGTCGTGCTGGTCCTGTAGTTGCAGCCGTCGCGTGTGCTGACGCGCCAAGTACACTGCAGCCGTTAATGCCGGACAGAAGGGGAGTCACACCACCATATGGAAAGAAGCGTAAATGGATGGAGAAGCATAGTTTACTGTAAAGCTACATCTTAGTTTTGCTTATCTTGGCGAAAGCCGAGTACAAATCAGCATGAAGTTTTAACATCTACTCTCGTGTAATGGAAATCATAATCTTAAAATCACCAACAATCAGGACTTTATCTGCAGCCAGTACTAACTCTGATAAAAAGTCAGCAAATTCTTTGATAAAGTCTGTATGGTGCCCTAGTGGCCTGTATACAGTAGCCAGCACAAATCTCAAACTGGATTTATAATTTTCACTAGATATTTTTTACATTAAGCACCAACACTTCTAAAGAATTATATTTGAAACTAGACTAATTTTGAAAGTATTACTATAAATTACAGCAACACCTCCCCCTTTGCCTTTCAGACGAGGTTCAAGTTTATAACCATAATCTTGGGGGGTGCACTCATTTAAAGTAATGTTATTGTTTGGTTTCTGTCAAACACAGCACATCTAGGTTAGTCTGTAATCATATCATTAACACACAGTCAGGGCCGCATTAAGAGCTCACTGGGCCCCGGGGCTATGAGTTACTGCAGGGCCCCCCACCACTACAGGTCACCAACTACATGAGCTAAATGTTCTATCATTATACGAGTCATTTTATCCATCTATGATATACTTCACAGTTAAGTTATATTACTTTTAAAACGATTTTTTATCATATCAAAATTTAATGGGACTAACATTTCATAATTCTTGTGACCAATTTCAATAATAGTAACTTAAGAAAAGAATCTCAAGCTTACCGATGACAAGAGTCACAAATAACAATAGAACAAAGGCACATAAGAAATCGACCATGAAAAATGTAAAGCACTGAATAATATTATATTGTATAAAGTAATCAAATATACAAAACATAGTTTTCACTATAAATTCAACATTCCTTCTTATTAATTTTACAAAAGTGATTCATTCAAGGGCAGTAAATTACTTTCTTTCTGATGTTTGATTAACATTATGGACACAAATGGCGACAGCAGCTTTATTAGCAGCTACTGTCACTTTAAGACCTCAGGGTCGGAACTCAAGTGCGCTGTGCAAAACCGCTTCAAGTTATCATTTAAAATAACCTTTATTTAACCAGGAAAGAAGACTCACTGAGATTAAAATCTCTTTTTCGGGAGTGTCCTGGCCAAGATAAGCAGCTTAATTTACACAGACATTTGACAAAGTTACAACACACAAACATAATCAGATCTCATTACGTAAATAAAAATATAAAAATGCATCTGGTTAAAAACATTTACACACACTTAATTTACTCAGATGATTATCTAATAAATATTTAAATTGACCACAAGATACTACATCTTTTAACTTCATCTCAGTCTGGAGAAGATTCCAATCCGATGCTGCAGCATATTTAAAAGAGGTTTTACCCATCTTAGTTCTGGCAAAAGGCACACACAAATTGTAGGTCGATTTAGAACGTAATGAGTAATTTCCAGGTGACTTCTGTTTAATAAGACAACATAGATAAGGGGGTAAATAACCCAATATAGCTTTGTAAATCAATTGGTACCAGTGCTTTTTCTTTCTAATGCTCAGCGACGACCAGCCAACCATTTTATATAGGTCACAATGGTGTGTCGAAAATCTGCAGTCAGTTATAAATCTCAAAGCACCATGGTACAGAGCATCCAGAGAGACAAGAAGGTAAGATGGGGCGTGCTGATATACTACATCCCCATAATCAAGAACTGGTAAAAAGGTGGCAGACACTAGTTTCTTTCTCACATTAAATGAGAAACATGATTTGTTTCACAATATCCAATGTATGTCCCTTCTCGTGAGAGGCCCCAACCACCCATTGAGTAAGATTAAGCCCCAGATTGTCATGTTTTATCTCTAAGACTATGTGCCAAATTACTAGAGAGAAGAGCAGCACCATCCCAGGAGGGATGAATATCACATGCATTTATCACATGTAAATCCTGTGCTGACGGAGAAGGCTATGCTATACATGCTACATGAAGTGCAAGTGACAATAAGAGGAGAAGACATGACTTACCGTGTTTGTTGACTGATTCTACTTACCACAGCTTTGATGGATTTGTAAAAGGCGCGAGCGAAATAAATAAACAAATAAAGAGCGCAGGGATGGCACGCCAACAGGCTAGCGAATTACTAGCGTGTTGTACTAGTAACGATTTAGATTGAAGCTAGCGATGTCGGGTTAAAGGTTCTCTAAGCGATCCTGGGTGACGTCACTTCTTGTTGACGTTCGAACTATTGTCAAACAAAACGGAGGCTAGCTAGACCCTCCCTCCTCCTCATCCGCACACTAACCCCCCAAACCCCGCCCCCAAGTCCTTCTTGTCGGTCATTGGCTGGAACAGTTTGTTATGTTTCGGGGAGAGGGTCGCCGCAGTTTGCTTTTGTTGCTGTTTGTGGAGCCTGGGCTGTCTACAGAGATCGCGTTTCTTTACAGTGTGTTCAGGGGACAGGCAGCCAGTGGATAGTGAGGAGATGTTTGCTGTATGTGACAAAAAATGTTTTGGCCTAAAAAACGCGTGACATCGCTTAGAGCACCTTTAATGTGTGATGTTGAGTAAGTAATATTTTAGCTGTATAAACAACAGGGAATGATAGTAAATAATGATTCAAAACGGAAAGATGTACGAAGCTACAGACGCAAACCAACCCAGCATAGCAGCGAGGTAGACAGGAGCAATCGAGATCGGCCCGAGTGAGTGAGTGAGTGTGTGTGAGAGAGATTGTGTGTGTGCGTGTGTGTGAGAGAGAGTGAGGGAGTGTGTGTGTGAGTGAGAGAGATTGAGTGAGTGTGTGTGTCTGTGAGATTGAGTGTGAGATTGAATGAGTGTGTGTGTGAGAGTGTGTCAGATTGTGTGAGTGTGTGTGTGTGTGTGTGTGAGAGAGAGAGATTGAGTGTGTGTGTGTGCAGGGTTCGTACAGACTCTGTCAAATGAAATTCCAGGACTTTCAAGGACTTTTCAAGCACTACTTTTTTGGATTTCAAGGACTTCAATCAGCACTTATCAAACAATATCTTTATTATTATTTTTATTTATTTAATTAAATTTTTTTACTCAAATTAAATATATATGGTATCTGATGTTTCACTTCATAGAGGTCAATCCATTGACCAGCGCTGTCAGGCATGGGAAATCCCCTTAACCATTGAAAGGATATATGAAACTAATATTGATATAGGTTTTTTTTTCTATTAATATATATGATTGACCTGAAGAATGAAAGTTGTATTATATACTTATCATATACTTAATATCATGCTCATAGCCATGAGAAATAGCTCTATATCTCAGACGGGCTGCAGCGTTGATTTAGCGTGAAACAATTGTGAATTCAAACAAATGTGAATTCGTCCGTACAAGTGCAAGACGTGAAAGACAATTTAATTCAGTATTCGCGCGCTGAGACGCTGGTTTGCGGGGCGTGCGCTGATGTTTGCGTTCATGGAACTTCTTGACTGCAAATGTCCAGTAATAATGTAGGGAATACGAACCCTGTGTGTGTGAGATCGAGTGAGTGTGTGTGATTGAGTGAGTGTGTGAGTGAGTGTGTGTGTGTGTGTGAGATTGTGTGTGTGTGTGTGTGTGTGTGTATGTGTGAGTGAGTGAGTGTGTGTGTGCATGTGTATAATGTACTCGTTACACCATAAGAAGGATGGCGTCTACGCTAATGCTACTCTCTCTGTTTATCCGAGGTTTGCCGCAGTCCGCCGGATCCAGATCTGATGAAGGACCTTCGCCTGGACATGACGACAACGCAGTCCTGAAGTGTCAACCAGTCCCTTCCCTGTTACTGAAGTCAGATCAGATGGTGGACCCCCAGCAAACAATATGACGTTGTGACGACGTCACGTGCTGGTCACTTTTAGTCACGCTTACGTTAGCATATGACGTCGCCACAACTGTCAAAGTGAAACACCAAAAGAGGTCGCTACGACGTCGCCAACCGACAACGTGACAACGTCTTCAGTACGTTAAGTTAAACGTTATGTAATTTTGGTCGCCGATTCGTCTTTTGGCTGACGTTGCTGTGACGTAGCCAGTACGTTGCGACAGCGTTATTGGTCGCCGATTGGTCACTTGATGACTTTTTCATATATATATATATATATATATATATATATATTCATTATGCAGTGGATTTATTGACATCCATTTATACTAGCATTTATCTGCCACTACTGCCACAGCAACATCTATAATTGTGGCTCTTGTTCAGAACTTTTTGTTTGTTGGTTGTTGTTTCAACTAGCATTACTGTTCAAATCGTGACATTTTACTCAAACAATTGGTAAAAACATGTTTAAACATTCACTAATGTTAATGTTAAACATGTTAAAAAAACATTGTAGAATAATTGAAAGAACTGAAAAGTGTTTTTGCAGATTTTATTTAACAGAATTTAACAGACACCATAATAACAAATGGGGGAAAAAATTAACTATACATTAAAGCAAAAAAGGAAAAAAATAAATGTCACTATTTAAAACACTTAAAAAGGTCTTCATCTGAATTGCTGGTTATTGTCCTCTTGTGGGATCGCCACTTCTGGGACTGACTGCACCTAGACAAACAATTTAAATAAATTGAGTGAACAGACCTTCAAGATTTAATGTCAAGATTCTGTATCGGTACACTGTATGTATCGCCAAGTGCAAAAAATGAAAACTAAGTACTGCTACTCATTCCAAAAAGTGGTATCGGCCCATCCCTACAAGTAAAAGTCGATTGCCACAGTCTTTTAAGTGAAATGCTCACAAGAAGTGTATATTTGTACCTGTAGTTTACTGTGGGCTGGGGCATGTTTTAAAACATTTGTGACGAGTTCCTCCACAGCTTTGTCCTGTAGTCCGGACCGACTCAGCATGATAGCCCCTGTTGTGTAGAATAATTTTTTTTTAAATGTTTTGTAAATTTCTTGTGTAATTACAATATGTTTTACAAAACAAGTGGTGGACTCATTTAATATACACTCACCGGCCACTTTATTAGGTACCCCATGCTAGTAACGGGTTGGACCCCCTTTTGCCTTCAGAACGGCCTCAATTCTTCGTGGCATAGATTCAACAAGGTGCTGGAAGCATTCCTCAGGGACTTTGGTCCATATTGACATGATGGCATCACACAGTTGCCGCAGATTTGTCGGCTGCACATCCATGATGCGAATCTCCCGTTCCACCACATCCCAAAGATGCTCTTTTGGGTTGAGATCTGGTGACTGTGGAGGCCATTTTAGTACAGTGAACTCATTGTCATGTTCAAGAAACCAATTTGAAATGATTAGAGCTTTGTGACATGGTGGAAGTAGCCATCAGAGGATGGGTACATGGTGGCCATAAAGGGATGGACATGGTCAGAAACAATGCTCAGGTAGGCCGTGGCATTTAAACGATGCCCAATTGGCACTAAGGGGCCTAAAGTGTGCCAGGAAAACATCCCCCACACCATTACACCACCACCACCAGCCTGCACAGTGGTAACAAGGCATGATGGTTCCATGTTCTCATTCTGTTTACGCCAAATTCTGACTCTAACATCTGAATGTCTTAACAGAAATCGAGACTCATCAGACCAGGCAACATTTTTCCAGTCTTCAACTGTTCAATTTTGGTGACCTCTTGCAAATTGTAGCCTCTTTTTCCTATTTGTAGTGGAGATGAGTGGTACCCGGTGGAGTCTTCTGCTGTTGTAGCCCATCCGCCTCAAGGTTGTGCGTGTTGTGGCTTCACAAATGCTTTGCTGCATACCTCGGTTGTAACGAGTGGTTATTTCAGTCACTGTTTTGCCTTCTATCAGCTCGAACCAGTCTGGCCATTCTCCTCTGACCTCTGGCATCAACAAGGCATTTCCGCCCACAGAACTGCCGCTCACTGGATGTTTTTTCTTTTTCGGACCATTCTCTGTAAACCCTAGAGATGGTTGTGCGTGAAAATCCCAGTAGATTAGCAGTTTCTGAAATACTCAGACCAGCCCTTCTGGCACCAACAATCATGCCACGTTCAAAGTCACTCAAATCAACTTTCTTCCCCATACTGATGCTCGGTTTGAACTGCAGGAGATTGTCTTGACCATGTCTACATGCCTAAATGCACTGAGTTGCCGCCATGTGATTGGCTGCTTAGAAATTAAGTGTTAACGAGCAGTTGGACAGGTGTACCTAATAAAGTGGCCGGTGAGTGTATATTAAATGAAGCAGAAGGGCATTTTGATATTGTCTTTTAGATTTGAAAACAGCAAGCTATATTTTGAAACATGAACCAATTGTAAAGCAGAAACTATTTAGACAAGCATAAATGCATTTTTTTGTGCCGTGGAACATCCACACAATTATTACCAAAAGTAACACTTATATTAAACTAACGTTTGATAACCTGGTACACTGCTGTATGCAGCAATGTTTTTTTTCCCCTTCTTCCCATGAAGGCTGTAGTTCTTCCAGACACTGCTAGAAGCTGCAGCATACGCCTTGTAGCTTCACCCGGGTTGGCTCCACCAATCAGACTGAGATGATGTGTCTACACAGAGGAAATACAGAAAATAAAAAATCAGTAATGCGGTAAATATTTAGCTCTACATAAAACATAGCTTTATGTTTAAACCATTACCCACCAATCTCTTCTTGTAGTCTGGAAGCTCTTTCAGTTTTGCCTCCAAGACAGCAAGTTCTTCCAAAGACTGGGCCACATCGATTTCTATTGGGGTCTCCGGACCCTGGCTGGCCCCTCCAGTCTGGTTTAATCGGAGGAGGATCTCCTGGATGTTTTTTGCCATCACATCCTGGCGGGTCAACATTGCCTTAAGTGTCTCTGTTTCAGAAACACAAAATGTTTCAAAGACATTAAAATGAAGGTCAGAAACGTACAAAGTGCAAAGATAACACATTTCAGTTATTACATGACTGAAATTTACCCACAATAAAAATTAACATACTTTGTATTACTGTAACCGTTTGGGTTAAGGCGGAGATAGAGTCTGACACACTTGAGGAGCAGCTGGCAGTTTCTGTGTGCACATATGCAATACAAAATGCAAGCGATTAAACTCAACACTTAGGTTCAGCATGTTATAAAACAAAAACTACCAAAGTTCAAATCACCAGGCTACATTTCTTGTGTGACACCAAAAAAACTGTAACACTTACAAATAAACAAGATTTTCAAAGTCATTAAACCAACAATAAAAATATAATCATACCATCAGACATCTCAGGCTGAATAGGACTAACTGGATCAAGGTCTGTGTAAATAAATAAAAAATGTCAACATAAGGTATATTTTAGTGCTGTCAAACGATTAAAATATTTAATCGCGATTAATCGCATTAATGTCATAGTTAACTCGCGATTAATCGCACATTTTTATCCATTCTAAATGTCTCTTGATTTCTTTTTGTCCTATTATTTTTTCTCATTTTAATGCTCTTATCAACATGGAAAAGTGGATCGGCTTGCTTTGTGCAAATGTTTTTTATTGAAAACAACATTGGCATATACTGTGTTCGATTTCACACTAACATTCTCACTTGGAGCAAATAATCTCTCACACAATGTAACACTGTCCATCAATAAAAGGGTGAAAGAAATACTGACGAGGTCCCGTATATTGACGAGGGGGCGGACAATTCGCATCAGCTGTGTGTGTGTGTGCTTGGCCATCATCAAGTGGTATTTCAGACTGGACGTGCTGCGATGATGATAGCTCAGTTCACAACGACAAAACACACAGATCACTTTGGTCTTGTCAATGGAACCATTTGGCAACTTTTTAAAAGTAAACTTTCAATTCAGAATCTTATTGGCATCCATTTCGGCGTCTCGCGCTCGTCAGCCACTCAAAACGTAACGTTAACCTACTATTTGGCCGGCTCGCGAGCCTAGACAAGTGTGTGCGGCGTCGTGCCTGTTGTTTTGTTTCCGGTCTAGCTAGATCCGCTTGCGCTTTGGTCGACGAAGCAAAAAAACGTCCTCGCGCGGCGCAAGCCATTGAAATGAATGGGTTTCATAGCGCCGCGCATACCGCGTCCTGTTGCAAAAGCATGTGAAAAAAAACTACAAAGTTTGCTAGGCCAAAAACACCGTTAATCGCGCGATAAAAAAATTAACGCCGTTAAAATGGGTTTGCGTTAGCGCCGTTAATCACGTGTTTTTAACTGACAGCCCTAGTATATTTTAATATAGATCCACACAATTTGACAAAGTTTATGCAACAATTGTTAACTTACTGTTCATAGTGTTTGTCTGCGGAAAGATGCAGATGGGAGGTGGAGGGTGTGTTGGTCCTGCAGAAGATTTCCGTGTAAGTGGCACCTCTGGTGGTCCATGGGACAAACCTAGATGATACATATTACCAAGATACTTTGGTTAATCATTCATTTAATGATTAACCAAGTCTAATGATTTCCAAAAATATCATGCTAGCGATTTTCTTATAGAGGGCAGTCTTGTGAAGCATGGTACTCTTGAGAAATATTGAACAATTATTTAATATCATACCTCTGGATTTCTTATTAGTACGGAGGACCTGTTCCGCAGAGTCTTCATCTAAAAAGCATACAATAAACTCCAGTCAACAAACCAGTCAGGGATACAGCTTGTAATAAATAACTACATGAAAATGTAAATACCCTCATCGCTGCTGTAAGCAAATTTTGCTGGCCTTTTTTTATGTCCTTTTTGAGAGCACAGCCCCATCCTCTGCACTTTCCACGTTTGACATTGTTTCGGCCTTTCTCAACCACCGAAGTGCCTGGTTAAAGTCAGCTACAAAGAAATGTGAACATTAGGGAAAGTACAAACAATATAGGATTAGTTTAAACATTTACAAGTATTCTACATGATGCAATGTATTTTGCTTTCTTAGTAGCTTTAAAAAAAAAATACTTAAGCATGCACAGCAAAAACAGGACAAGAAATTAATACAACTGTACCTGTAACACCACTAAACACCTTGACTTTCCTGGAAATCCAAGTACCGTATTTTCCGCACTATACGGCGCACCGGATTATAAGGCGCACCTTCAATGAATGATCTATTTTAGAACATTTTTCATATATAGGGCGCACCGGATTATAAGGCGCATAAAGATACTGCAGTCAAACGTTTGACTGGGTTTGCGTTATGCATCCACTAGATGTCAAGAAATGTCAACAAAACAGTCAGATAGTCAAACTTTATTAAGCGTTCTGACAACTCCGTTCACTCCCATGGTAACGTTGTTCAAACATTAAAGGAGAACTCGGGTCAATTTTAACATTGAGCTCATTTTTTGTAAATTGGGAGTGCTGTCAGTACAGATAACAACGACAAAAACCGGTGTTGCCTACACCGTGTTATCCTCTTTTTAAAATGTGCACCCTGTTGACTTAAACTGGACAAGTTTTAAACCTGCTTTTAGCCTCTTAACAACCTTAATGTGTCATTACAAGTGCACAGCCGAGCCATGTGAGTGAACACGGTGAATCTGACTGCACATACCCGTATTTTCTTCCTGTTTTCGGTCGAAGTCCACAGTAGGCGATTGTCGAGCGCGCGCGCGACAGTGGAGACTCAGACTGTCAGCCGATGACGGTGCTGTGTGGTGTTCTGAGAATATCAGCTCAAATGGATAGTTCATCCGGATCAGATGTTGAACACACGGAGGAGGTTTGATCGCGCGCGCGAACTCGACAATCGACTATTGTGGACTTCGGCCGAAAACAGGAAGTAAATACGGGTATGTGAGCTGGCTGAATAAAGCTTTCTTTTACTGTCTATGGAATAAAGAGATTATTCCTGCCTTCGTAAAAGCTCGAATCACAGTTGAGACTGATATATCAGCCCAGGGCAGGCATCCACGATCCACTGGCAAATAGTGGCGTAAGTTGCTCGGCGCTGTCTCCCCGTCTTGGTGAACGTGTGTTCCCCATCCATATATAAGGCGCTCCGGATTATAAAGCGCACTGTCGTTTTTTGAGAAAATTAATGGCTTTTAAGTGCGCCTTATAGTGCGGAAAATACGGTATCAGGATCAGGTTGTTCCCCTCTTCGTGCTCTGGCTGTCGGGTTGCACGCAGGCCAGTAACAATACTCATCCTGAAATTCATGAAAAATATTTAATGACCACTGTATTTTCCAAAGTACAGTACATACTGACACCCCCAGAAAATAGTCAATAGCCAATGATCTGATAAAATACCGTAAGTTTCTTATACGTCCAACATTTAGCCACCACAGCTACACTCCCTTCACTGAGGAATTCAGCAACGACTGAATACAGACAAGACATACTGTTGATTAGAAAGAATAGACAACCTCAATGACCACTGACATATTCCTACCTGAGATAATTCTATGCATTTACCTAGAAATGAGACAACACTGCATTGTAATCCCATTTCCAAAGTCAGGTGTGTCCTGCACAGTCTTAAGCCCCCAGCTGCCATTTCCAAACTTCATTTACTATTCAGAGTCCAGACCTTCCATTGCAGAAACACAGTCTTTAAGCATCGAGGTATATTCTACTGCCTGACAGGAAGTCACGGGGGTATGAGCCTATTTTTACAAAAACAGCAGCTACGGTGACGTAACGTAAGCTACAAGGTAATCGAGCCTTTGATACATTGTTGTGTTTATTTAGAAATAACTTGTTTAAAAAAATTTGAGTCTTTAAATGATTCAGCCTTTGGGCTAAGACTTTCCCTTTGGTCTTAAACCCTCAGATCCATTTTCACCTTTCTTCAGACCTGATGTAGAACTGCCATAAAAGTTGTAATCTGCCCCCTATCTACTAGTATGGCGCTCCGCCAGAGTTCTGTTGTAGGAATCCTCTTCATCATTGTGTTCCTCCTGTGGTATTGGAACACCCGAATCAAAAACGAACTGCATGGCTAAGAGAAAAGAGGTTCAGGGTGGCGGTAGACTATGCATTTAACCTTTCCCTCTTTTTCTACCTGATCCACAACTTCACAGCAATGTCCATCTTCCAAATAGTATGCCTGTTCTCTTTTTTTGATGTGCAATTGGCCGGTTCAGACTCTCTTCCAGTCTGTTTGCTACCTGAGCCAGGGAACTCTTTCCAGATCGTACCATCTTCTTAATGGCCTGGAGGTAGTTCTCAAACATGAAAGCACTGCAGTTGTCCAGGCCTTTGAAGCACACTGCATCTGTTGACAGGTGCAGCATGGTGTGCGTGTTGTAGACCAGGAAGGTGTGCCCGTACAGTTCACAGCCTTTCTCTACAAAGTATTGTAGTAGTTGGTGAGCATAGTCATGGTACTGCTGCACCAGTGTTGGACACACCAGCAACCCAACAGCAACACTCAATGTCAGGAAGTGGTTGTGAAGGTCCTCTCTTAAGACACCTTTCAGCACCAGTTTCCCTGTGAATAGCAGAAACTGGCGAAACTCAGTTGCCTTCCATCGTTCAAGCTCATCCAGGCCTCGAGGGCTGCGTGCAAAAATCGAGGGGATTGATGACTTCAG